GGTGCAATCGGCGCATTTCCAGCGCATTCGGCGCAGGCAGCGCATGGCCATGCTGTGGTCCCTCTGCCCGCGTGCACTGGTTATTTCCCTCTGCGAAAAGCCTCTCGAGTCCAGCATGACTGACAGTGATCTGGAGAATTTGTTTGTGCTCCAGGCCACGAATCTCTTCTTCGCGACAGAAGCTGAAAAGGAGGCACATGGTTTTGCTTTCATGTCCCAAAGCCGTGGCAGATCCCCGTGTCTGGTGTGGGAACGCGACCGGTTAGATCTGCACAAGATGCAGTCTGCAGATCGTCGCACTTGCCTGGCTCAGTCGATGATGCTGCAATGTGCCTGAATTAAAAATCCTGGGACCCATCGTTTTCCACTGTTTTACCGAGCGGCGAATCCTGCAGAGTCTTACCATCTGTCTGTTTGAGCATGGCGTCATCAGCAGTGTGGCGCACTCCTGTCCGCTTTTTATTTTGGGGCCTTGGCCATGCCCGTAAGTAATGCCTTTCCACGAACCGTGCTAAGCTACAGTGAGGCGCGACGATGTGGATCAGAGAAAATGGGTTTAGATGATCGAAGCATATTCGCGGGCTGTCCATCAAAGGATCCAACACCTGGGTCTAGACCTACCGATGAATTCTGCGATTCGTTGTCCTGCCCATGCAGGTCAAACTGCCGGTGATACGCTCTGGCGAGCCAAGCAATCCTTGCAGCTCCTTGGTGGAACAGCGATCAATGATCAGTTGTGACTTCGCACGAGATTCGCCGTCAACATACCGGCACATCAAGCCAACGGACATTCTCGCAGCATAGCGGGTGACTAGCAGGAAGGACGGAGGAGTCTTCAGGAGTCTTTCAGTTGTGCTCCACGGAATCGCGGCCCCACTCAGAGTCGAAACCTCAGAGTGGAAAGTTCGACCTGCTAAGATATGCTGAGACAATCAGGTGTGCGCTGCTACACCCAGGATCTGTCTGGACAGGCAAAAAGGATGCTTCTGACCTTGGCAACAATCATGGGCACTAGTATGCTCACTGCCAGGCCGGACTGCGGTACGCCAAGGTAGACACGACCATCGAGCCAACTGAGCTGAAAGTTGAAGTTGAGTAGAAGTTTGTGTTCGCCTGCTCACTACTTGCCATAAGAATTGATTCTGCAGGTCTCAAGGCAAGGAACATGTATGAAAAGGGTAAACTGGGATATGCAGGGGACTTGCCAGAAAGTGCTGCGAGCCCTCCATACTGAGGTTTCCTACCGGTTCAACATTGGCCTATGTCACAATCCCCATCCTCACAGACAGTGCCTGGCATACCTGTGAGGCGACCGCGCTGAACTGTTGCATCACGTGCGTCAGCTCACATGATGCTTGCGTCCATCCTGCTGCGGTAACGTCGTAGCTGATTCAAAGATGTATCACATGGAGAGGAATTTGCCGTCAAGCTCGCGGATCCTGACAGATGTCACATCCGTGGAGGCGGTTGCCGAGTCAAGATCATTGACGAGGAGCAGTTGTAGGCTGTTTTCGCATCCATCTCCTTCCCATCGAAACCTAGAAAGAAAAATGTCACTTCACACCGTTCTGTTCCAGTCCTTCGTGCTGAAAGTTGCGGGGGTGCAAGACGGAAATCATGTAGCGCGTGAGCAACAGCCGAGCCCACAATAAACAATACGTTGCTGCCGCAAAACGAGATGTGGGTGAAGGTTGGCATGTCTCAGTAGACAGAGGTCCTGTGCTGCCGTAGATAATGCGATCTGTGGTGCATCAGCCATGCCTTGAGTGCAGCGGAAGCGAAGGACTGCTTTCCGAGCAACGACGTGGCCGAGTACCTTGTGCCCCCGTCCTCACTGGACGAAGTGCCACAGAGGACAGAAAATGCCATTGCTGACAGATGCGTCGCGAGAATTGTTTGTGTAAAGGGTAAGTCGACCATAGTGGCCACTCCAAGGGCCGTGGCATTCCACCCATGTTTTGCAATTGGCAGGACATTCGCATGGAGTTTCATCCGGCTTTGCATGATGCAGCCCGATATCAAGCGGAAGGCATTGATTCACGTTCCCTGGAAGTGCACAAGGAAAGCCGTGGACTTGACATGGCGTCCGGCAGACACATGCAATTTGGTTCGTGTTGTTGCTGTCAATGTGCCATTAAAATTGGCGACATGTCTTGAGCACAAAGGCGAGCGAGGCTTTCGGCACTAAATATTTAGTTCTTGCAAATATCTTGTTGCAGACGTACTGTGTTATCGCGCGGAGGAACTTGTACTTTGGCTGTCAAGTTGTGAGGTTAGCATCTCGTTGCTGCACAATCTGTACTTTTTGATGCACCCTGGCTGGAACTATATGCCGGCTTAGGCGTGCTTCACGCCATGTCAGATCCTTCTTTTTGCACCAAGGACTGTCTTCCTGAAGGTGTATCTCATCAACGTACTTTTGGCAAAAGCAGGCGATGAGGCCCATGCGGCCGCCCGGACAAGTCTGAGCGAGCAGGCCGACTTGAGATATGGGTGTTGTCTTTCATATGTCCGCATAAAGGTCTTAGATGATGTTTGCGGCTGAGTTCCTGGACCTCAAGCCTCAAGCTATGTATGAGCCCTGTGGCTGGAAATGTCGTCCACCGGATGGCGTAGCATTCGAAGATGGGTTCTGCTCTTTCGTAATCTTGCTGTCCATTCAGGTTTCATTCATTGAACTCTCTGTTGTCCCTTGCATCCATTATAACCAGAATACTCCGCTATGCACCGTCCATGAATGAGCTTTGGCTCCCTCCGTCACCCTCCCTCGCCCTCGCCCACCGTCGCACTCCATCTCCTTGTCTCCCTCCTTTTTCCTCCTCCCCTCCCTCCCCCTCCCCTCCCCTCCCCCCCCCCTCCC